TTAAAAATGTTTAAATAATTTTATAAGATTGATGATATACATTTCCTCCTATAAAACAAAAATCTCATAATATATATACATTACTTTTCCAGTAAAAACTTTTAGGGTAAAGTGATTCTCAACCGGACAGGCCTAAACAGTGAAGAAGCTTCCCTCTCCCTCTGCCCTCTGCTATAAAAATAAATCAAAATCACACCTCCTTAACGCCCGCTTCTCCTCTCATTTTACAACCACTCCTTTCTCAAACACCATTACGCTGTCCCTCACATCCGCCGGACCTCCTCCCATGGACGTTCGCCGGCGACCATCTGCCACCTCCAACGCCTCCGCCGGCGAACCTTTCAATAAACCCCACCACCACAAATCTTCCACCACCGCCACCTCACCTCTCAAAGCATCTGATGCTCTGCCACTACCGCTTTACCTCACCAATGGGATCTTCTTCACGCTCTTCTTCTCCGTGGCGTACTTCCTCCTCCACAGGTGGCGGGAAAAGGTCCGCACTTCCGCTCCTCTCCACATACTCACCTTTTCCGAGATCGTCGCCCTTGTTTCCTTGGTCGCATCCGTTATTTACCTCCTCGGATTCTTCGGCATTGATTTCGTCCAGTCCTTCATCGGTACCCGGTCTTCCCCTGATTCTTGGAATGTCGATGATGACACCACCACCCCTACCGCCGCTGCCGACGGCTCCGCTCCAAAATTCATTAATAAAGATGAATCATGCTGTGGGGCTAGTACTATTGATCCCTCTGTTTCTGCCAAACTCGTTGCACCTGTCATGACACATGTCCCTCCCGGGGATGACGACGCAATAATTGAATCAGTCGTTTCCGGGTCGCTGCCGTCATACTCGCTCGAGTCAAAGCTCGGGGATTGCAAGCGAGCGGCCATGATTAGGCGCGAGGCGCTGCAAAGAACGACGAAACGTTCGCTGGAAGGACTACCGTTGGACGGCTTTGATTACGATTCCATCTTGGGACAGTGCTGCGAGATGCCGGTCGGGTACGTGCAGATCCCGGTGGGGATTGCAGGGCCGCTTCTGCTTGACGGGAAGGAGCACATGGTACCAATGGCCACTACAGAGGGCTGTCTGGTAGCCAGCACAAACAGGGGATGCAAGGCCATTTATGCCTCCGGTGGCGCCACCTCTGTATTATTGAAGGATGGCATGACTCGTGCCCCTGTTGTACGATTCCCCACCGCCAAGAGAGCGGCGGAGTTGAAGCTCTTCTTGGAGAATCCCGCCAATTTTGATACTATTGCTGTTATCTTCAACAGGTCCCTGCTCTTTCCTCTGTTTTTTTCTTTTTACTCATAAAAACTGAGATTTTTAGTTTTTAACCTCTTTAATTGATAAACCTAAGTTTTATTCCATTTAAAATCATATTAGCCAATTTCTTCTCTTTTAAATTTCATGCTTTGAGGGAGTAGGTGATGATTTTGTCTCTAATTTGGTAGGTGAAGAGACATAAATTGGTTGATGGATTTCTTATGTTTTTGAGAGATGGATATATTTTTTTATTCTTTTAATGACAATGAAAGTAAAAGTTAATATTTAATGTTATAAAATTTGAATTCTTAACCTTATTGAAAATTAATGTATTGAATTTAAGTTATTAGTATTAACTTGGTTAAGCTCGGTTATGTTAATTACGTGATGTTGGTATCTTACTGATGTTGATGTGCAAAATTTAATCTATACTTTTTCCTTTCGTGGGTGTAAGTAGAACATTAACTTGATCAGGAAAGAACTGAATTGGAAATGCAGGTCCAGCAGATTTGCAAGGTTACACGGAGTGAAGTGTGCCATAGCTGGAAAGAATTTGTACATCAGATTCACCTGCACCACAGGTGATGCCATGGGGATGAACATGGTCTCAAAGGGTGTCCAAAACGTTCTTGATTTTCTCCAGGAGGATTTTCCTGACATGGATGTGATTGGCATCTCCGGAAACTTCTGCTCCGATAAGAAACCAGCGGCAGTGAATTGGATTGAAGGGCGGGGGAAGTCTGTGGTCTGTGAGGCGGTTATCAAGGAAGAGGTGGTGAAGAAGGTGCTGAAAACCACGGTACCCGCCCTCTTGGAGCTTAACATGCTAAAGAACCTCACTGGCTCCGCCATGGCAGGTGCTCTTGGCGGCTTCAACGCTCATGCCAGTAATATTGTCTCCGCAATCTACATAGCCACCGGCCAGGATCCGGCACAGAATGTAGAAAGTTCTCACTGCATCACCATGATGGAAGCTGTCAACGACGGCAGGGACCTACACGTCTCTGTCACCATGCCTACCATTGAGGTACTTTTCTTCTCTCTCCCCTGTAACCGTGTCTTAATATTCAACCATATCCACGTGTAATTAATCTGAGCGTTGTGTGAATGAGCCAGGTTGGAACAGTAGGAGGTGGCACCCAGCTGGCATCCCAGTCCGCTTGTCTGAACCTACTTGGAGTCAAAGGTGCCAGCAAGGAGAGTCCAGGGTCAAACTCAAGACTTCTTGCCAGCATAGTAGCTGGCTCTGTTTTAGCAGGAGAGCTTTCCCTGATGTCTGCCTTGGCAGCAGGGCAACTTGTGAAGAGCCACATGAAATACAACAGATCTAGCAAAAATGTATCCAAAATTGCCTCCTAAGCTTATATTTGGAAAAAAAAAAGAGTTAGTTTTTCCATTAAATCAATCACATTGGGAAGAACAAACTAACAGAGAGAGAATATGGGGCTTAGGGGACAGGAAAAAAACACAATTTACCCACCATTACTATTCAAAATTAATAACTCCTATGTGAAGATGGGCTCTCTCTTTTCTAGATGTATAAAACAAGGAAGGACCATGGGAAAGAGAAACCAACTTCATCCTTTGCACCAGATTCTTTTCTCGTGCCAAGGGACCTATTATCTTGTTGTCAATTGTTAATTTCTTAGTTTGTTGTTAGGATTATGGGGTTTAGTTCTTGTTGTTGTTTGTCAGCTTATGTACATGATTCAGTAATTTGATTTTAATTAAGTTAGTCTTGAAGCTAGATGCACAGTTCATTAATTAATTAGTGTTTTCTTAAATCATCTTTATATTTGATTTGAACTTAAGATTTTTCAAGAATTAAATAAATTACCTTAAGTAATTGCGTGACGGATTTGTAGTGAGTTGTTACATGAAGCTAGATTAATTAGTATTAATCTGGATGCATCTTAATGATATGTTTATCATGATTCAAAGATGGAGGACAGAAGTAAGATTCTTGCATAACATACGCACCCCCATGTGGAGTGTGTCTGGCAGTTGGAAGTAAAAATAAAAAACCGAGGATACTTTGTTTACACTGAAAAACAGGAAGTGGAGGATGCATGATCAGTGCGTTCTACAGGAGAAACAAGAAATTAAAACATTGTGTTGGCATTGTTTAGGTTCACGTAGCGTCTTCTTGTAGCTATGTAAATTAAAAAATGGAGTTAAGGGTCAATAATTTAAATAGTTTAATGGTTATTTTTTTCTTATCGATTAATAGAGCTATTTACTTGTATAACTTAGATTCCTCATATTTCTCGAAAGAAGAATTTGATTGAGATTGATGAGATTGATATTGATATTTCAATCTTTTTCTTAGACCTTATTTCTTCTAGATAATTTCTGAATTGTTCTAGAGCAATTATCATTTTTTTTTATTGGAAGTAAAAAATTTTGAATTCAAATAACATGATATAGAAGTAGAATATGATAAGGAATGAGAAATAATTATCTCATATTATGCAACTAAAAAAAAAAAAAAAAAAGGAATTTGGGGGAATTTCCCTATATTTGGATTGCAATCTAGGGAATTCATGTCCATTTTTAACTTTGTTAGGTCTCAGTAACAAACTTGGTGCTACATCGCAACCCGCCACTAGAATTTGTGATGCCACATTTTCTTGCTACAATTAGGGGAACATCACATCACGTCAATTTGGGCTGTAGTGAAGGCGTCACAAAATTTTATTAAGGTAAAACATTATTTGTTTAGTTTGATTAATATCTTATTAATTTATAATTTTTATGATTAAAATCAACTATAATTTCTATATTTTTAATTTTCATTTGTTGTACTCCTTGTACTTATAAATCGTTCAAAATCTTTCCTCTAGTCTTCCTAACCATGCTATAATTCTCCCTCTACTTTTCCATTACATTACCTACCTCCCCTAACGTCACCCTAACACCGTTTGTAACTCCTATTTAATAGAAGCATCTTTGACTGTTAAATGTAATAGTTTATTTTTATTTTTTTAAGTAAATTGTGTTTGTGGGTCTCATGAAACAAGCGAAAAAAAAAACTTAAAATCTATTAATTTAATAGACATATATTAACTAGTAATTAATTTCAATATTTTTTTATTTTCAATGCACACAATCATTTAAACAAAGTAAGTCTCAAGTTTTTCTATTTTTATTTATCTCTTTTCTTGATTACCATTGGGATAATTTTATTATTACATCTTATTAGTATTAATTTTATGTTAAATTATTCTTTTTAATTTTTTTATCTTAAATTGCACAATAAGAACTAATTTTCTCTCATCTTTTAACATATCTCACTCACAGATCATATAATTTGAACTCAAAATCTCTTATTTTTGCTAAAAAAAATTACTAGTAAAATACTTAGATTATTGATTTCTTTTTGACTCTTTTAGTCTATTAATATAATTAAAAATTAGTATGAATGACATTTTCAAAAATTTAGGCCATCTTTGATTGAGTTATTAAAAAATATTTTTTTAATAGATAGTTATTAACAAATAATTAATACCTACTTGTCCCGCACATGGTGGCCTATTGGCCACCCCCTTCGGATGTGCGTAGGACTAATGAGACCTGGGATCAAATCCCAGGTCCCTTCCCCTTCCTTGGAAAAAAACAAAAGTTTCCCACTGTTCAAAAAAAAAAATTAATACCTACTTTATTTAATTAGATGAATAAAGGCATTTAAATTGTAAATAATAATAATAATTGTTAATCATTTTATATAGAATATCATCTATTAGTTATTATTAGCAGCTAAATTAAGATTTTATTTAACCATGCTTCTTACATTTGTTTTTTCCAATAGTATGTTGTCTAAAATGTAAATTTATTAATTTTAATTCATTTTTTTATATATTTATTAAGGGTTTTTCTAATCTATGCTATAGGAGCATGAGTTAAAGGTAATTTTTTTTATCATAAATTTATATAGAAAAATGTAAAAGTTGACATTGATTTCAAAGTCAATACCACATGGATAAATTTTAATTAGATAATTGATAAATTAAATATCAATATTTATTCTTTCAAAACTCTTAATATATGCCCTTAAAACACAAAAGGGCATAGGTTAGAAAAAACCCTTTTACTAATTTTAATTAATATGTTAAATATTTTTAGAATAATAAAAGTTGGAAATATCTACAAATACAGCGCAACGTTGCCAAATCAAGCTTAAATATGATTGAAAATGTAATAATTTTGTATAATTTTAAGATTTTGTTTAATCATACTTTTTACATTTTTTTTTTTATCTTGCACCTTATCTAAAATACAAATTGATTATTATTATTAATCAAATTTAATTATTTTTTATTTTTTTTGAACAATTTGTAATTATTTACAAGGTTAATTATTTTTTATATACTTTTATTAATTTTAAAAAATAATATAGTTGTAATGTTATGTAGCATTGTAACAACACTATATATCATTATATAATTAACTTTTTTTCATTTAGGATCTGCCTGTAGTATTATATATATCTATTTATTTAATAACATATTACACTCATTAATGTCACATAATAATTATAAACTTAAAATCTTTGATGACATTATAACTATAACATTATTTATTAATTTTAATTAATATTTTATGTATTTTTAAAATAATAAAAAAACAACTTATAACTACAATATAATACAACAAATTACTAACAAATAATACCTAACACCTTAAGATGCAATGGCCAAAAAAAAAAAAAAA